GAAAATTGGACTACGGCCACCTCACTCACCACACGAAACGCGAAAGTATTATACTTCCACTTTACGCCGGTCTTCTGTGAGGTTGTGGTATTGATCCGGATGAGCCTGCCCATTCGTGCAACAGCCGAGACTACTGCGTGGCCTTACTAGCGTAAAAAGACTAACGAAATATTCATACTTTTTTTTGCGTTTTGTTTGATGGTGATCTCAGGGGTTGCCAAGAAGTTAGCAAAACTATAATTACTTGACACAAGGTGAATCATCGAACTTTTTCAGAACAAAATCATCATCGAACTGTTTCCTAGGTTCTCTAATTTTGGAATATTTTTCAGTGAGAATGGTGTACTACAAAATCCGAATTCAATGATCATGTTTTTGTTAGATGCGGGGCCCTCAGACGTAGATCCATATCAATTTGTATCAAATTTGAAAATGGACAATAAATATTGACGACCCGAATGACCGGTAGTAGTGGTTAGTGTACCTGCCTCCTGCGCCAGAGAGTGTGGGTTCGATTCCCACTATTGGAAAAATAATGTGTGATGAACATTGTTTTTTCTAGTGTCTGAGTGTTTATATTTTATGTATAATATGTATTTATTTACAAAAGAAAAGTATGTCTAAGTATGTTTATCAGTTATCTAGTACCCATAGTACAAGCATTGCGTAATTTGGCGACCCGCCCCGGCTTCGCACGGGTGCAACGTATTATACATATAAACCTTCCTCTTGCATCTCTCTATCTAGTAAAAAAATCCGCATCAAGATCCGTTGCGTAGCTTTAAAGATCTAAGCATACATAGGGACAGACAGACAGCGGGACGACTTTGTTTTATACAATGTAGTGACGTGCGGCGTCGTACGTTATTAATGTCCCCAAACTCTTCAGGGGCCGGCGTGTCCGCGTCTCTGGAGTGTCCCGGCAATCGTCGTTTCATCCCCTCGAATGCGGATTTGCTCAAGTTTGTACATTTCGAGTCGCGGCGAGACCGCACCCTAATCGCATCAATTACTTATCAGGTGTTTGCGTTTTCGTCGCTCCATTGCTGGAAACCGCTTTGCCTCTTATGTATAATTACAACGGAACAGTATCTTTAAGTATTACTAAGTAATAAAAAATAAACTCTACGGAAACGTCTTAGTATGTGCGTAGATCCGGGGGAGAAAAATCGATGGCTTGATCGATGTGGTATGTACTCAAAGTTATGTATGTACTCAAAGTTAAACAAAAGACTAACTTTGTAAAAATAATTTCCTGTTTTTACAACAAAATTGATTTATTTGCATTTAGAATTCAAAGCCAATCAAAACATTTTTTTTTTGTTTGAAATGGCCAGTACGGAAATACGGAAATTTCGTCGGTAAAGACCTTTTATTGCTAAGGTTATTCAGGCAAGAAATATACCATTTTACAACATTTCAACTGAATTTTGCTTTCATTATTTTATTCAATAAATAAAATAGTCTCGCTAAAACTCGAGAACGGCCGGACCGATTTGGCTAATTTTGGTTTTGAAATATTTGTGGCGGTCCAGGGATGGTTTAAACGATGAGAAATTGTGAAAAATTGCATGGAAAATCGAAATAGCAACGATTTTATTTTCCCATACAAACTGTTCCTACCTGTCAAACATATTATGCTTGCGTTCCGAATATTCTTTTTCTATGTGTTCAGATTTACAAATTCCCTAGAAATAATTTATATGACAAAACAATGTTCGCCGAGTCAGCTAGTTTCGAAAAAAGTCATTTAACTATCATTGTTACGACAGTTTGTTATAGCGTTACGTTTTTTTTTTCGAATTCCGAACGATTGATTCCGAATTCAAACATGGCGCAGGGCTGCCAACATTGAATATTGATTGCACAAAAGGCGTTCGGCGCCAAAGCGTATTTTCGATTCGAAATTATTCAGCGACGAACGATTCCTTTTGACGGTGCGAAATATGTAAGTAGCCTTAATCGTCACTCTTGCTTATAAAGCTGCGCGTATAAACGTAAAGAAAATCCTTCCGCTTCTCGTAATATTTTTTTACATCTTGATCCTGCCAATATGTCGCGTCAGCTGCATTCAGCTTGTTTTTCAGTAAAATCTGTATTTTTTCCAACATAATGGTACCCACGGTAGGGATATTAATTTTCGAATAAAACCATATAACGCCATCTAATAAAGATTTGAGGTACCGGTAGATTAACATTCAATAGAAAAAATGCAAGTTCCTAAATTAATTACGAGGTGGCGCTATGTTACATTTATTGGTTGACAGCATAGAGCAATTGATAGGAACAAAATCTGTTTTTTCGGGAAACATCACCCATATAGAATTTAAAAAACAAAAAAATTTATCCAAATCTTTAGAGTTTCGAGATACACGAAATGTATATGCAAAAATTGCTCCTTTAGACGATGATTCTTGACTTATTACGACATTAAAATCGAAATATATTATAATGTATATGTACATAATTTTATCTGTATCTTCAATTCAACTATAGTACGGGATTAACATAAATTTAGTCCATTTCAAGTCACGTGAGTGTAGTAGAAGAGAGAATTATTGTTTTTTTTTAATAATAATGCAAATTAAAGCGTTATCGTGTTTAAAGTTGGACATTTTGGATTTATAACACTATTATGATTCCGAATAAATTCCTTAAAACCTAATCAGCGCAGAATTTCGTGATGATTCATTCATGGTCAAAACAATCCAAAACTAAAAAATACCTAAGGACTCGGTATTTCTTCTTCTTAAAAATTATGTGTATACACTGTTTGAACATAACTATGCTTGGTGAGAATTGTAAGTATTCCACAACTCTAATTTTACAAAGTTTTGAGTTATTAAAACCCTTGTGCAGTCGTCCTTACATTTTTGATATCGTCTTTCCCGTTCACACATCGCGAGTCGTCCCTTTTCCGCTCTAGGTGCGGAAATTCAAATTTGGCGGGTTGGCTCGCCTTTCCGCCGTAGATTTTCATGTATAATGAGCCTTTAAAGGTTGCAATCAATGAAAATCGCAAAAGCGGGCGATGTGTTTGAGTTGGGCAAATACTATTCTAATATTCTCTACTTTCAGTTTGAATTTGGAGCGAATCCAGAGGAATTTCATCATAAATTATGTCGTTTTTATGTTGATTTGCCTGTTCCTTTAATTGGACTATGTTTTTATATAATCTCATTGAATGGTAATTGAAATTTTTAATAACATAAATATTTGGAAAAAATTTATTACGAATATAAGAACAAAAAATTTTTTCCTTTTTCGCCCATTTAGTGCAAATGGGAATCGGCAAAGCGATGGTTATAAAAGTAAAGTGACAGCCTATATAAGTCTCACTGCTGGGCAAAGGCTTCCTCTGTGCTTAGGGTATTAGAGAATACCGACCCGATGGAGGTCGACTTCACATATTAATAGGAAAAATAAAGAAAATTTTCTTTCGAAAGACAATCGGCAAATTTCGGCTTCCAAAAGCATTATCTGTGTGGAACACAACGATTGCCAAACGTTAAACAGGTAGTGTTGGATTAGATAGAGGCAGTTGTTAATATCTTTATCGTTGTTATTAACCTGTTTCATGGGATTTACGACAGATTTTATTTTGCTTTATTTCAAGCACTTGTGAACGTCAATGGGGTCAGGATGAAACTGGATCAATAATAAAAATTGTCATCGTCATTAATTTTTATATATTTCATAGTGTTAATCTCTGACTTCGACTTAAAAAAAGAAAATGGACGAAAAATTTTTCACCGCCTCGGGAATCGAACCTGCGTCTTTTCTAATCGCGCCTAGACCATTTAACCCGGGATCGTCGTCATCTTAACATCGGCTCCACAACGACTACGGCTACTAACAACTTTAAGACCTGAACAACTTTAATGGTTCATTAACATTTAGAGGGATATAAAATAGTTTGCCTAGTTTGTTAGTAAATATTAATAATATGCAATGTATAATTAACGTTATGGAAATAGAAGTACTGTTATGGATTTGAAAACTTTAACATGTTGAGTGAGAGCCATCTTGTAGAAGTAACAGATAATACTTCACTGTTTCAAACTGTTCACTGCGTATTGGCAACTCAACTTATTTTGACATGTACAACAGTTAGAAGGGTCTATGTAGTTCTCCCTAATTCCAGTAGATGGCATTTGTTGGCGGCCAGCACTGGAGCCATCTGTTGAGTATTGATTGATAACAAATTTAAATGAAACATGCCGTTCAGTAATTGTGTTAATCGACATCTACTGGAAATTATTGTAAAGTTTTATATTGCCAGCACAGAAGTAAAGCTTCATAGAGCTTATTCAATAGATGGCGATAATAGTAGCAAAAAGCTATTTATATTAGATCATGCAAATCACAGACACATTCTGTGTTACACGTTTTAGTAATTTTCCTATCATATATATTTGTGAACATTTTGAATTCTCTATAAGATTCTTTAGTAGAAAATCTTTTTCCATTATGCTTAAAGAAAGTGTGAAGACGTACAAAACAAGTACTATAATAATGACCCATTGGTGACTTAAATTGATGGAAATTATAATTAGGCATTGTAAAATATAAGTGATCTTTTGATACTAAGCGTATAGGCAGCAACGATAGCCATCTTCAACGCTCTCACGATTTCTCTCGCCGCGTTGAAACGGCGGTTAATTAGGGCTAAAAGCTTCTTAATTATACCAATACTGTATATTGGGGCGACGCACGTGTTCCCATACTGTGCCTATACGGTCTATGGAACAGAAACACCATTGTTGATGTTCGACGCTGAACGCCGGCTAGGAAGCAGTTTGCCGCCGGCCGTTGTCAGGGAAGGGTGTCACGCCACACGCCTGATTTAAATGAAACGTATTGCGGCGCGTTGATTTAATTCCTTTTAATTGGGGACATTCAGTCGAATGTTTGACAGAACATTGGTGCAAATGTGAACGAATGAGGAATTTGTCACGTGTAATATTTTCGACGGGGCCTTTTAGTGAGAACCCACAGTGATGTGCTTCGAAATAAACGTTTTCGCGATCGTCCTTTTGATTGTTTCCTTCGTCGGTAGAGTAAGGAACGGGGGTAAGGCAATATTTACTTACGAAATCTATTGCAGCACTTTGTTCGAAGCATCTAGCAACTTTTTCAAAGAAAACTTCGAGCGGAATCATGATTGCGAAATGAATATAAAATAACTTTAAGGTAACTTTAACTTAGTATGATTATATGGATTTTTCATATAACATATTTACCTGCTTTTGTATAAATTAGTTAAATGTAGTTTTTATATTCGTTTCCTGTCATGGGTAGGATGCCTACATTTATTATTTGGTCAATGAACTTCGTTCCCCTGATTATCTCTCCAAGTAATTTTTATTGATTACAAAAACTTTGTTAATTAAATGATATGTATTTATTTTAGTTATTATTTTTCTTATGCTATAATTATATGTACTAAAATATCGTCTAACATTAGAGAAATAAAGTAAATAGTTTTCATAATTCATTTGTTGAAAGATTTACGATAAATTAAAAAATCTATTATATAGTTCCGATTAACCAGTAGAATTAAAATAAGAGACGAAACAATTACCGCATAGAATATGAGTATCGCGTTTTTCATTTATGTGTCATTGTCACATCTTCGGTCACTTGGACTTACTTCAGTCATTAACAAAAATAATCCAGGACAGAACGAGAAATAACTTTACAAGTTTAATCATTACTTGCAACCACAGCCTGTATTTTTTTTCACTACATAGTATAAAACAAAGTCGTCCCGCTGTCTGTCCGTCCTTATGTATGCTTAGATATTTAAAACTATGCCACGGATATTGATGCGTTTGTTTTACTAGATAGACTGATTCATGAGGAATTATATGTATAATAAATTGCACCGATAGATTGACGTCGGGGCAGGTCGCTAGTTCATAAATAAAAGTCAATGTTTGTATGTTTGTCCTCTATGCTGTAAAATTTGTAGCCTAACATAGATAATTAATGACATCATAGACAATTAATGAATTTTTTGAGTGACAAAGTGGCAAACTAGCTGGCGGTTCACCTGATGTTAAGTGATAACCGTCGACCATGAACGACATTTGCAACACCCGTAGGGTTACCTCACTCACCAGACGAAACGCAGAAGTGTAACACACTTCTATCTTACGCCGGTCTTCTGTGAGGTCGTGGTACTTACCCGGACGGACCTGCCCATTCGTGCAACAGTGAACAATTTTTGTTGTGGCATTACCACATTTATTCTGTGCCAAACCGTGAGAGTTAGCGAGAGGTATACACAGTTATACACGTTTGTGATGCGGTTCCGACAGTTAAGTCTCAAATCACTGGCTTTCGAACTCACGACTTCAGCTGCTAACACGGTAGATACCAACTCGTTGCTGGAAAGTGAAACAATTATGTCTGCCTAAGCATTTTACACAGATGGGTAGGCAGAGCTTAGAAACTCTCCCTTCTACGACGCTTGCACGCCTACTTTATCCATTGCCTATATCTTCGTATAATATCAATTGTGGGTACTAACTTCATCGCATTTGTCACTATATCGCCAATCTAGTCGATGTGACAATCTAGTCGCTTAGTTTTAATTTACGTTCTTTCATCGATTTTCTATGCATTTCGCAATATAAACCACCATCGTAATTATTTCCTCATCCATATTTTACCTATATGTGTTATTCATAATATACACAAGACTTAATTGACTTATTGTCCATGTTGAAAAATTGTCAATTAAGTAGTCACCTTTAATGATGTGGTGGGTTGTCATCACCATCTGTCATGAGCTTCATCTTCAATTTCACTACAGATATTCTCGATGTCCAAGAGAATGTGTCCACACTTGATTTTCTTGAGGTCCATTTGGGTGGATCAAGTCAATGTTTCGGTTGACTTCTTAATTCATTAAGGTTTTGTGTGAACTATTTTTTCGAATGACGTAAAAATCTTTGCGCTCAGATAATACTCGGCAAGTAAGCGACAAAAAACCGACCAAATGCGAGTCGGATTCGCGCACGAAGGGTTTCGTACTATTATCTATAAAAACGCCAAAAGAAATATGTCTGTTGTATGAGAGCCCCACTTAAAAAAAAAAATTCTGTTTTTTAGTATTTTTTGTTATAGCGGCAACAGAAATACGTTATCTGTGAAAATTTCAAATGTCTTACTATCATTGAACATGAGCCCGGTGACAGACGGACAGACAGACAGAGTCTTAGTACCCGTTATACCCTTTGGGTACAGAACCCTAAAAATTGTCAAAAGAAGTGTAGAAACGTCACTGAACGCTCAGTAAACTCTCCTTCTGCGAAAATCATGCCAATTGCCGCGTTAAAAAAAGACAAATCAACAAACAGTTTTGTTAACTATATATGTAGTTAAAGGTACAATAGTGGGTTTATACGTGATGTTTTCCAGCCACACCATAACACTTCCTTCATGTTTATGATAATATTTTGGATCCAAGATCAAAGTGGGCATCGGACGCGGCGAGAGTCGGAGTCCATTTTGTCAATTTAGTAAAGCACGCTGCCTTATTAAATAGTAGCTTTAAATTTCTTGTTAATGGCTTCCCGTCGGCTTACGGGTGGTCCTTATGTTTAATGATCCTTTTTGTAGCCATTCAATTTTAAAATGAATATAGAAGATGTAGTCAAATAAACATAAATATCACGTGGGAAACTGTCAAGGGAAAACATCAAAAACGGTACTAATGCACTAGTATTTAGTATTCAGTATTTGAAAAGATATTTACTATCTGACTGATTAAGACACTTAGACACTTGTAGAGACTTCCTTAGTGTTGAAACTTACTTTATGCAAACTTTCTTTCTCTGTTTTATGGTTTTGGTTTGAAATTTCATCATGATCTACCAGTACTATTTTCGACCGAAATATTTCATGCATAGCGAATTCTACATTTATTTCCAAACCTTAGTAACATTTATGGAGATATTTTGCGACAACCGTAAAGTGGTGGAATTCCTTAGCAAGTCTACGGCGATTTCACTCAGTGTTTAACTTGTTGAAAATTAATTAAAATGCACTATATATGCCCTGAGTAGTGTTAGTTCCAGTTTAGTTTATGAACTGTTATCCCGTTTTAGACCTATAAAGTTCAACCCCAACGGCTATCGGACGTGTGAGCATTAATTTATGCCAATTAAATCCAACAAATGAAATTCAAACGTGTAGCTTTTATTACGTCATTTGAAAGGAAAATAAGGCATTGTTAACACGTAGTCTTTCGACGTATGTATATTGTAACCATCATGCCCGTTTTCTGTTTTATTTCCAAAACTGGTTTCCATACTTGGTTATACATTATCATGAAAGCAGAAGCGGCCCAGTGTAAAGTACTTTAATTCTTAATGCAAATATGTGTTTATTTACTAAACAAAAATGTTATAAGTTGCCAATGACCTAGGGATCGTAATAAAAGATTTATGTACACATTGATAAAGAAAAAAATAAAAATTAGATTGAAAAAAATTTATTAAAGTAATCATTTTATTTTGTAATATCGGAGCCCGGAATTCACTCAGAGATCTTTTCAAAGAGGTTAATATACTCACTGTTGCTTCTCAATACATTTATTGTAATGTTTTTAATATACGTCATAACCTTAATTATTACCTAAAGAATAGTGACAGACATAAAATAAACACTAGAAATAAGGACAAACTTACTACGCCATTGTTTCGTCTACAAAAAGTAAATAAGTCGTTCATGTCAATAAAATCCCACAGTCGATATTAAGTCTGCCGCTTGACCAAGTTAAATGTAAAATTAAAAATCAACTGATGGTTAAAGCATATTATACCATTTCGGAATATCTCGACGACGCCAATGTGTGGAGTTAATACTGTTGATACTCACGTAGGCTAGAATAAGACTATTATACCTGTATATTATATTGTACCCTGATATTTTTGAAAAAGAGCAACTGTTGAGTTTCTTGCCGGTCTCTTCTCAACAGAAACCGCTTTCCGAACCGTACCTTACGAACCTATACACATAATCTTTGATGTAAAAATTTACGAAAAGAATAAGAGCGCGCAAGCGTCTATTTGAATAAATATATTTTTGATTTTGAATCATTCTGAGTATACATTCTTACGGTATATCGGTTCTTATATCGTTATTTTTATGATCATTGCTCAATGAATAATAATTTCATTTAAAACGAAGTAATTATATGAGAAAAATTTAATATCATTATCATTACCTCACAGGACTGGAGCACACCACACAGAAGGAGACGCGACCCGAATACATACATCCAGACGGCCTTCTAAATTTCGATCCCTACCTCTCGGATTTCAAACCGGAAGTGGAAGAGGACGACTACATACCACTACCCGAAAACGACGAGACGATAGACGGTCTGCCGATCTTCTTGCTAGAGCCGAAGAACTCCTACGTGCTACGAAGTAAGCCGGCGACTCTACTGTGTAGAGCGGCGAACGCTCTACAGGTTTTCTTCAAATGTAACGACGTCAGAGTGGATAAGACTGTGCAGTTGGAACACGTGGATCCGCAGAACGGGGTCAGGGTGGTTGAAGCCGAGCTGAACGTGACAAGGAACGAGTTGGACGAATATTTCGGAGGCCGCTACAGCTGCGAATGCTACGCGTGGAATAGCAGGGGACGAATAAGGAGTCAAGCGAATTACATAGAGTTTGCCTGTAAGTACCCTTTACTTGCAACCAACTTTAATGCGTGGGTAGCGCAATGGCGTGTGGGCAAGTTTTAAATTACTTATTCCCAACCGCATGGTAAGATTATCCATTTAGCTGTAAAGTAGTTTTATACCTTGGTGACTCCGTGGCGCAGTCGTCAAAGTATTGGCTTCGGCGTCGTGGGTTCGATTCCCACACGGGACAATTATTTGTGTGACCCACAGATAGTTATTTCGCATCTGGGTGTTTGTCCACGTGAAATTTATGTATGTAAAACTTCCTTACAACACAGGATAATGACGTTATCCTAAAGTGAGGGCAATGTTTTTTAATAAAAAATACACACTGGTTATTACATATTGTTAGACAGAAACATAGATACGAATCTGTTAATATATGTTTTTACATTACACAATCCAATATGATTACCCCTTTCGAGAATGGAACTCAATCTCCAAAGCATATAAAACTATTTATTAGCTAATGCACCAGTTTACAAAACAACTGTTCATTAATAATAATATAATTTTTAGGTGGTAGGGCCTCGCAACAGCCTCGGCTGTTGCACGAATGGGCAGGCCCGTCCGGGTAAGTACCACGACCTCACAGAAGACCAGCGTAAAGTGGAAGTATGACAAATACTTTCGCGTTTCGTCTGGTCAGTGAGGTAGCCGGAGCCCAATTTTCAAAAGGTTGTCAACGCATCTGTAACCCTCGTGTAGCAGATGTCCATGGGCGGCGGTATTCACTTACCATCAGGTGAACCGTCTGCTCGTTTGGCAACTTTTCACATAAAAAAAAAAAATTAAGAATGATATTCGATATCTTTGAATCATTATTTAAAATCATTCGTGCGCTGTTGCGTGTGTTCGTAGATACACATTCTAATATGATTAGTTACCCCCTTCCAATAAATTTATAAATTTCCTAAAGTACATAAACTTGTCATGGATATATTTACATACATTGTTATTTCTTAATTTTTAGTTGTAATCATCTGCAATATTTGTTATAATTTAATGCCGGTTGCCTCAACAAATTATAGGCTTAATATGTAATTTAATGCGCATTATACGCAGAATGATTCCATACTATTCTATATTTCTCCATTCTTTGGAAAGGACAATAATTCCAAACATGTGTTCGGCCACTTACTTTGCATTACTTTGACTGATATTTTTGCTTTCACTCCTGTACTATTAAAGCTTTGTGGAATGCAGAGCTAGTGGGATAGTCCACGAAATTGACACGAGAGCATGTAGAGCCGCTCATTATCTATGGAGATGAATGTCAGGTTCGGTACGGACCGTGACCCCGTTGACCGTTGGCGTTGACTGTATTAATCGGCGGCTGTTTTTTTATCATGTTTTTTTATGTCAAAAGTTGCCAAGCTAGCAGGTGGCTCACCTGATGTTAAGCGAATAACACCGCCCATCGACATCTCCTACACCCAAAGGTTTGCAGATGCGTGACAACCTTTTGTAAAATGGGCTCCGGCTACCTCACTCACCAGACGAATCGCGAAAGTATTATACTTTACTGTGAGGTCGTGGTATGTACCTGGACGAGGCTGCCCATTCGTGCAACAGCCGAGGCTGCTGCGTGGCCCTACCACCGTGATGTTGCCAACCACCCTGGGGTAAGCTTTGTGACGGATGTAACTGGTGTACGCGTTGTGTTGGTTTCTTCGTCTTCGTAGAAGAGGACAAACTAATTAGTTATATGCTTCTACTAGTATTCTGCAAGTGATCTATGTACTTGAGAGAGGGCAATAATTTCAAATTTACTACTCCTCTTATTATTTCAATCACATTTAAAAACCAGTGAAACTACGTATAATTGTAGATTTGTTATTGACTCTATATATACCAAATCGATGGCTCGATTGGGACAGTTGCCAAGCGATGGACTTCTGCGCTGCGAGCCATGGGTTCTATTCTCACACGGAGCAATCATTTTAAAATCTATAGATATTTTTCCGTATCTGGGTGTTTGTCCTTTTTAAACGGTTTTATTTAGCTCGACCCGTACGGAATTTGTTTGTTTGGGTCAAAATTAGAATTGAAAGGTGCTTAAACCTTGCCGTACTCAGATTGATCTGAAATTTGGTACACATATTTAATTTAGATGACAATACAATATTAACAAAAAAAAATTTAACAAAAAAAAAACCATAAAATAAAACCGTCTAACTTAAAAGTTTTTAAACGGTTTTATTTAATTTCTCTTTCTAAAATGCCCTTAAAACATAGAATTATTTTGGAAGCGGTATCGTTAAAAATTGTTGCTCCTATCAGATATATCCTATGACGGACTAGCTAGCTATCGTCCTAAGTTACAGCTACACGCACTAATTCCGAAGAGGTCTATTGACTGTTACGGTTATAAATCAAAATGTTGCTAACCTTTCACTCCTCCCTATCAAAATAAACGAATAAGCGTTGTTTATGTACGATATATTTACATTCAGACGGGACGAGTTAAATTAAATCTTCCACAACCTAATGGCGCTAAATTGAAAATGACCCATCTCTCAAACGTCCACATTAATTTTGCACCATTAAAACACATGCGCATGTTTAGTCCACTTGATTATTTGAAATGTGCCACGAATTGGAATGCGGTCGTGTAGCTGCCGAATTCCATGTTATTGCTGTCGTCAACATGCACGCTGACAGCTTACTGTAATGTCAGTTAAAATATCGTTTATATTTCTGAAATAAATAAGTAGCTATTTCAACATGTCTGCACTGACACATCGGAACTTGGAGTATATGCACTATAGATAGACATTAGCGCTTACTTAGAGTAGTAGATACTTTCATTTGTTATTTTTCTCTCTGTTGCACTCTAGAAAGGGTAGAGTTATATATTATGTACCTATTTATATGTCTATTGTATGTATATATTTAATAATTTTGAAGTTAAAAATAAAAAACAAAAAAAATAGCAAGGAGTTTAAAATACATTTTTATCACGTGCTCCGCGGTGAAGGAAAACATCGTGAGGAAACCTGCATATTTTCGAAATAATAACAAAAAATATTTCGAAGATATGTGAAGTCCGCCAATCCGCAGTGGGGCCGCGTGGTGGACTATGCCCTGATACCCTCTGTATAGAGGAGGCCTTTGCCCAGCAGTGGGACATGTATAGGCTGTTACTTTACTTTTTACTTTACTTTAAAATACACTACACCCAATAATAATATCCATGATTCACTTTACAATCAAGTAGATAATTATAAATCGAGGCAGCCTTTAAGCACTACTTCGCTCCCATGACTCTTTTTGAAAAAAGAAAATGAGAAGTTAACGTTATATATAATATATATATAGGACAAAAAGTATGCGAACTGTATACATAGAGTATATTCATACATGTTTATAAATAATCATGGGTATTGATGTGTTTTAGATGCATATATAATAAGCTATCTACATTTCAAAGTCCGCGGCGCCTATACGGCGTTAAGAAGAAACAAACACTTGTGCATACAATATTACGGATTTGTAATATAAGAGTGATATGCAGGAATAGTCTGTTAATTTATTCGTTGAGTACCTCTTACGACTCTACGAGAGTGCGGTTATATTCCTTGAGTTGTATCCGCTTGACAAACCGCGGGATCAATATGCAAATTCCATCGTTAGGGTACCGCAAGGGCCCGATCTCGGTCCGCATGCTTAGCCGCGAATGCGGTTTATTATTTATTTATGTAAACTGCGTAATTATTGTCATGCTCTTGTACGTTGAATGAGCTACGACTATTATCGATGGTGAGGCCGGTCAGTTAACGGTGCTCGGCGAATGTTAGTGAGAGAGGCTTACTCACTGTTTGTTTTGAATTAAAGCTTATTTAAGGGCAAGTTGAGATTTTAGACGTACAAATAAAGTTTGATATAACCTTATGTATAATGTAACTAATGAGTTACATTATGTATAATGTAACTAATGAGTTACATTATAAATAAGGTTGACAGCGTAATTATGTTTAAGGTTTTCTTAATGTAACTAAACGAATAAGCTTGCATTAAATAAGAAAACCATTAATGATATTTATATAGTAAACAGGATATGATAGCCGCATTTTATATTCTTTGGGAGTACGTGGTTTTTGGTGTACGCTAAAGGATTATGCTATTATATAAATTGCACAAGACTAGCTCTCAGACTATTTTTGCATAGTGTACAAGTAACTAGTTTTACCAAAATTACTAGATCTGTGAACATATGGTAAAGTAAAGTAAAATAACAGTCGATACATGTCCCACTGTTGGGAAAAGGCCTCCTCTATACAGATGGTTTTAGGATACCAGTCCACAGGAGGACGGCGGACGGCATGTGGCCTACCTATATAACCAAAAAAGTTACAATTTGTATAAAAAGTAAGAGTAAAACCACCGCATGTTTAATCCGAAAAAAAAAAAATTGTTTTATTGCTAGTCTCTGCACTTTAGATGAATCTTAAAATGTATAAATAGTCAACAAATTTTGCTTGCTGTAAAGTAAACTCACTTGGTGGCGCCAATCATTTCTAAAAACGCCATAAAGATAAAGTAGAAAAAACGTCCAGATTTTCTTGCGGTGAGGAGGTTGACTTGAGCTTGTGAGCTTAGTGGTAGAGCGTCTGGAGAGCCACCTGGAAGGCGTAGTTTCGAATCCTGGTAGCGGTAAAATGTAGTTTTAGGTGAATAAACGATGGTGTGGGTTTATCTTAGGTAGTGTTCACTGTTGCACGAAACCCACTTTATTAAAGATTGTCAACGCACCTACTGTCCATGGGTGACGGTTATCACTTAACATCAGGTGCAAAGCCAGATCACTTGCCGCCTTCTCTAATAAAAATAATCAAAATGTGTGTTATTTGCGCAAATTTAAGAATGCGTTTTAGTTAACTACATGATAAGTTAAACGACTACTTGTTTGAAAATATTTAGGAGTAGTTACGCTCGCCGATTTAACGATACATAATAGACACGTTAAGTTAGATATAAGAACAACAAATTAATGATCCGCGTCGCATACCCAATAATTAATGTGAGAATGGCTTCTCAAAACCGGTTGCCACGTTCGACTTCGCATGAATTCTCATGAATATAATGTCCGGTCCGTAATGATGGGATTTGATGGAAAAAAATCGAGAATGCGTTAAGCCCGCGGTTGACAGACTACCATAGAAATTCCGGCGTACAGAATTACATCCATGAGCGATTTAATTACAACCTTTTGTTCGCTTTCACGCCTTCGTGGTTGAAGTGTACAAGAATATTTATAGAGCTGTTTTTGTTTGTTTGTTATAAAGTGAGCAAATACCTGAACAATTCTCCAAAAATTCGCGGGCTATGATACAAAGTCTTAACTCGTTTTCTCCATTTTGGTGAAGTGAAGTTTTAGTGCAAACTATGAACTTGAAGACTGGAAAAATTTTGAAACTTTAACCCCAATGATTAATGCTCCTCTTTTATTAATAAGTCACTGTGTCAGTCAGATTCTCCTTAAATAAATACAGATCAATAAATGATCAGCGAAAAGTGTACAGAAGTAGTTACCTCTTATAACTTATAAGAATTAAATTCGCGAGATCATACGTAGAGAATTACACTTTAATAAGAGAGGCGGTGAAATCTATGAAACATTAGTTCTATATTCAATAGATATTCAAAACAATAAGAATAAAATGTAATGAAATATAACCATGTCTTACTAACAAGTAAATTATGTAAGAATGAATAATAACATATTTTCTTTCTTAGTATAAGTTACATAAAGAGGAAAATTAGCAAGCAGTGTGTTAGTGGTAAGTAAAATAAAATTTTGACTACCAAGCCTACAAATAACTGTCCTTGTTCGAAATGGGACAACTTGGGTATATCACCGGGACTCAAACCCGACACTAGACGAGTTTTCGCAGCCTCTAAGCCACAATTACAAACAATTATCTTGTTACTATTGTCATCTATATATAGAGATGCTTTACACATTGTAGGTAGGGAGAGTGAATGGCGGGGAGAAAAGGAAGTAAGATGTCAGGGGTTGGTATCGGAGTAATTTCGGATGAAAATTCTCAACAAAAGAATCTTCTAATTAACTTTGGGGTTCTAAGAAATGCGTCTATTTTACTGTTCGACGTTAAAACGTTATTAAAAAATTTTAATAATCCGTTTTATTTTTGTTTCTTTGGAATGAAAATAGTTTGTATTTGAAAATTATATTAAATTGGAATTGAATACATACTTCTCAAAACATCTTCCTAGGCAAAGAAATCCAAAGACAATTAAAGTATTTGAAAATTAAGGTTTTGACACACCCTTATCTATGTTTTATATGTTTTGTCAATAGTAATAGAACATAGAAGATATTCATCGTATGAATACGAAGATATAGTTTTTCAGTCTTCAGAGTAGCCTTTGTCCAACAGTAGATTGTAAAATGTTGACAAACATACGCCACCCACATTCTTTCTTAACGGTGGTAGGACCACGCAACAGATTTACCTGTTGCACGAATGGGCAGGTCCGTTCGTCACGGCTGGTCCGTTCGTCACGGCAGGTCCTTTCGTCACGGCAGGTCCTTTCGTCACGGAAGGACCACAACCGCACAGAAGACCAACGTGAAGTGGGAGGGTTATACTTTCGCGTTTCGCCTGGTGAGTGAGGTAGCCGGGGCCCACTTTACGCACTTTATAAGGTCTCAACGCATCTGCGACCCCACGGGTGTCGCAAATGTAGATGGGCGTCGGTTATCACTTAACATCAGGTGAACCGCCAGCTCGCTTGTCACTTTTTCCCATAAAAAAAATCTTATGAAAAAAATCTTATGAATGTCTTATGAAGTGTTTTATGTATCTGTGCTTAGACCGGAAATAAACGTTTCTTCCTCTTCTTCTAAAATGGGATAAATTTCTAAAGAAAAGTACCTCCAAAAGAAAAACCTTCTTATGTTAAGAATTAATACAATCATTGCTACGTCACCCGTAAGTCATGTATCAATAAGCTCAATTAGAGAGTACCATTACTCGCTTAAAAAAGAAAAATAAACCGGTGCCAGGAAAGGTAGCGTTGAATTTAAAAGTCTTATTTTAAATAATCGTAAAACTTTAGTAGCGCCGATAAGAGCTGAGAATATCGCACCGGTGTCCTCAAACTCTTCGAGTGAGCGTTTACAAGCAAAAAAAAATGAAATAATTTTTAACGAGTCCTTTTTTCTCCCACTGTATCATCCCGCGCCTTCGGTGGGGTGGGTACGAAACGGAACCATTAAATAGAGGAAACATTATTTCCGATCGTTAAGTCGAGCACTTTGCCATTTGATAAATGCTCACTAGCTTTTATTTTGGACGTCTGAGGTGGGTGGTGTAGCGTTCTGTTAAGTGGGACGATTCTATCTCCGACCAGTCGGGATTGACTTAGCACCGGAGCTAGAAGTATGGAATGCGTTAATTAGCACCAGATCGTGTGGTCATTTACGGTGGTGTACACCCTTACAGCAGTGCCATCTGATATAATAAGTAATAAATATTCAAGTTTTGTCTTTGTTTGTTAAGTAACAGCCTATACATGTCTCACTGCTGGGCAAAGGCCACTTCTATATAGAGGGTATCACGGCATAGTCCACCACGCGGCCCCAGGTTGCTCGAGTATATTGAATTAAAGGCGTGCGCCCGGACACTGAGCTCTGTATTGTTTGTTACTTAAGACAAAAATTGTTAGTTTTTTTAGGATAAAATGGGTTGTATGTCCTTTAAATTTCCTCAGTAAATTGATGAAGTTTGAACTTCATATGTGAATGCTGGAGATGGTGAACTCTATAAAAAATGAAATTACGAATGGTATCAAATTATGAGAGTCGAAACTCTGGCTTTAAGTGCCTTTTTATCGTTTAGTAACAACGTTGAACAATGAAATTGTCAATTTTAAGTGCAGACTTATCTCGTGCTCGTGACTTATGGAAAACATCGTGAGGAAACAAAATAATAACAAAAGAAAATATTTCGATGACATGTGAAGTCCGCCCATCCCCATAAGGCCATGTGGTGGACTATGCCCTAATACCCTCAGTACAGAGGAGGCCTTTGCCCAGCAGTGGGACAAGTAAAGTAACAGCCTATATGACTGTTACTTTACTTTGAAGCATCTGCATTTTTTTATTTTTTTATGTGATAAATGTGCCAAACGAGCTGGCGGTTCACCTGATGTTAAGTGATAACCACCGCCCACGGACGTTTGCAACACCGGTTGCAGATGTGTAGGCCCCCGCTACTTCACTCACCAGACGAAACGCAGAATTGTAACACTTCTACTATACGCCGGTCTTCTGTGAGGTCGTGGTACTAGCCCGGACGGACCTGTCCATTCGCACAACAGCGAATACTGTTGCATGGTCCTACTACCTCAATTATTAACTATCAATTAATAGAATAGTCAATAGATAATAATTGTTACGCAGACATAAAGAAGCAATTCGCTCAGCACCCGCAGTCAGCTACAGTGGAGGCGGGGAGACAGGTCATCTTCAGGTGCGGACCACCACCAGCCGCTCCACCTGCAACGATCAAATGGACGAGGAACGGAGTGACCATAGAGGCCACAGACGAATCTTTAGTACTACCCAAAGTGGGCTTGCAGGTGGGAAAAGGAATTTGCGTATTATTTTGCACTTTATAACTATATTTTAGAACCAACTTCAATGTGCTGTATATTGTTGATGATATTAGATGTCTAGTATAAGTTTGTTGTAGGACATGGCTAACTACAGCTGCATAGCTGAGAATATCGCAGGTCGGCGCGAGTCGGACATAGCTGTTCTATCAGTGTATGGTAAGTTCTTAGGGTTTGTTCAAAAAGTTCAGCACAGCTGGCTGTTTCTCGACTAATGAATACTTTCGTTAGTCAACGGCGGCTGTTTCTCGACTAATGAATATTTTCATTAGTCAACTGCGGCTGTTTCTCGACTAATGAATATATTCGTAGTCAACGGCGGCTGGTCGGAGTGGTCGGCGTGGCTGCCGTGCCGGTGCGGCTCGCAGACGGTCGGCAAGCGCAGGACTCGAAGCTGCACCGAGCCTGCGCCGGCGAACGGCGGTGCGCAGTGCAGGGGCCAGACGATGCAGGGCGATGATGAGTGCTCCAGATGTCAGACGGGTAGGCGCCATGTTGAAAGACCGGATTGGAGCGTTTAATGCTCTTGGAACTTTTGGACACGGTCCATTAACTTTTCTCATTAACACCCTTTTCTGGCTTCGCCTTTATTACTGTGTATGTATTTATCTTTCTGTGATTTTTTTTTCCACCTTAAATCATAATTATTTTTAGAATTTAAGAAAACGATGGAAAAATAATTAAATACTATGAACGAATACGTCAGTTTAACGGAACAGGTTTTTATAAATAAATGTATTTTTTTTATTATTGCTCTTACGAAGAATATAATCCTGTTTTGTAAGGACGTTTTACAAATATAAAATTCACCTTCAGTCGTGGGTTCGATTCCCAACGACGTTAAAGCCAATACTTTGGCAACTGTGCCGCCGAGTAATCATGTTGTTGGTTCTCACAAAGTAGATTAACTATGGTAGGTCCGTCCGGGTAAGTACCACGACATTACAGAAGATAGGCGCAAAGTGGTAGTGTTTCTGCGTTTCGTCTGGTGTGTGAGGTAGCCGGGGCCTACTTTATTAACGCATCTATAACCCTACGGATGTTATAAATGTCGATGAGCGGCGGTTATCAATTAACATCAAGTGTACCGCCAACTTGTTTGCCACCTTCCCACATAATAGAAGGTATTTAGCAGAATGTGACGTGATGAACGTTCAAGGATATGTTGAATAAACGTGAGGCTAACGAGCCTATAAAAATCTGGATCTCCCTTTTGGATGGAATAATGTCATTCACCAGGCAGTTGGTCAGCGTGGGGTTCGTGGTCATCCTGCAGTGCTGAATGCGCACGCAGCAGGCGGCGCCAGTGCACCGGCACTTGTTCAGGATCAGCCCTGCAGCATGCTGCCTGCCGCGACGGGCTGTGTGCTGCTGCATTGCGTGAGTGCAGCCTCGTCGGCTAAATTAATGCAATATACTCGAACAACCCGAGTTCGATCCCCGGTGCCGGCGCCTATGAAATTGGTAGTTTTATATGCTGTCCCGTTACGTGCTCAGCGGTGAAGGAAAACATCGTGAGGATACCTGCATGTTTTTGATATGATAAGAAAAAAAATCGAATTTACATGAAATCCGACAATCCGCAGTGGGATCGTGTGTTTTACTATGCCCTGATACCCTCTGTACAGAGGAGGCCTTTGCCCAACAGTGGGACATTTGTAGGCTATATATTTTACTACAGGGATGGATACCTAGTCTTATTTCAGATCGTTATAATTGCCACCAGCTTGACGTACAGCAAATGTAAATCGTAAAAATTCTAGTTTGTTACTTCTGCTTAAAAAAACCTATATTATTTAATCTAACGCAGAAGTAGGTTTTTAACATTAATCTGTCTTGAAAGAACTTTACAAACAAATTTCATTCAAATCCTCGATCCACAAATACTTATACACACTTATAATACTAATATACACTTTACCCGTCTTAAAACAAGCACCACTACCAACATTACCTGTGCCAATGTGCCAACTCAGATACCATACTACCTTGGTCGTCATTTCAAATTGCAATGTTTTCTACAAAGAGCCACTATCGAAGCATCATCTAGCAATTAGTCGCTGTTGTCAAAACACTGCAACAGATGTCTACGTTGGTATACGTTTATGAAGTCAATACACATTAAAATGCATACTTCTTGAGAACTCATAGTATGAATTCCTCTTTTAGGCATATACAAAAACAACGTGACAATGTACGTAGGCATAGGGATCACGATAGCCATGCTGGCTGCTGGAGCGGCTGTGTTGTACGTCTGGTGTAAATACAGAAGCACTAGACCTGGATACATAGCCGCAAGGACAGGTACGCCTCGTTTAAAATTTACACGATTTACGGTTTTTTTTATTTGGTACGGTTTCATTCTTTTTTCTCAGATGTTACACAAAAATTTTCTTATACAAAATTTTAAAACTTAACTGAATTTAAAAAAAATGTCGAAAACTCGTACGTCAACATAACGTTGAAATATGAAATAAAAATTTCGAAAATAAATTACTAGTCAACGTATACGACGACGATGTTTCATGATTTATAGTTTCTGTAACAAATTTCCATATATTTCATGCGATTTATAAATTTTTGCTTTCTTATTGCCTAGCAATTTTACACTATATAATGAAATAAAGAAGTGTTGAGTTTTCCCTTTTGACTTTATTTTGTTGGCATGTTTTGCATCCGGCACAATTTTATTTCTTTTTTCTTTAAATTTAACTAATCTCACTGAAAACCAGCGCTGTAGTATATACGCCACACACAGTTGTGTGCGTAAAATGTGTGATGTGTTTAATATTTTTTATTTCTCTTTTGTTCTTTTTACTATGTATTTTTTATGTGGCGTATTTGAGCAGTAAATGTTTTCTTTCTTTCTTTCTTTCTTCTCTCGTTTGGTGGTGTTTAAATTTACTGTTACCACCTCCCTTATTTTCTTACCCCAGTTCATCCAGGTGCGCCCAAGACGTATTCTGGACGGGACAAGAGCAACGCGGGACCTGACTTGACCAGAACCTGCAACGAGTACTGGATGCACAGGCCCGATAACCACTACGATATGCCCCAACTTAGGGACAGGTGAATGACCTCGAATTGTCATGAAGTCGAAATGTCGAAAAGTCGAAATGTTAGTATGATCCCAAGAAATTATGATTTTTTTTATTGGGAGAAATTGGCAAACGTTCCGGCGGTTCACATGATGTTAAGTGATAACCGCCTGCCCATGGACATTTGCAACACTCGCAGGGTTGCAGATGAGTTGCCACCTCTTAATAAAGTGGGCCACGGCTAGCCCTCACAAGACGAAACGCAGAAGGGCTACTTCTACTTCTACTTCACGCCGGTCTTCTGTGAGGTTGTGGTACAAACCTGGATAGAACTTCCGATTCCTGCAACAGCGAATACTTTTCCGTGGCCCTACCACAGTAAATGATGAATTTTAGATGGTTAAAAGACCAGGTTAATCAATTCCAGATTTTGCTTCATAGGCAATCGCATAATCTGACCGAAAGATCGCAGCTTCTTCGATTCCCTTCCAGTTTTTATCAAATATAAACAAACACATTCTTCAAAGGAACTGAGTAATATTTTATTTGGAAAAAGAAAAATTGTTTACAAAAGAGAATTACACACAAAGCAGAAGTAATGAAATTCTCCGGGACAAACTTGATGTAGGAATAGCATTCTGCAGTCTTACTTTCGCTTTGTACACTGGCGTCCGTGAAAAATCTCCGTCCCGTTTTCAAATCGCTCCTTTATTCTTAGACGCGTACAAGCGTCACAACAATCGAAACTCTTTTGATGTCGCTCCGACTTCCTACAAGACTGGCTGACATAACACGCTATTAATACCGTCTATGATCTGACGGCGTTGTCTCCTTGTTTCGGAAGGCCGGCATTACGCGTTGTTTATTAGCGGACGCGTCCGCTCTATTCTTTCCGTTGGCTTTCCCCTTGCATCGGGAAGTTGCAACCGGTTGTCATTGTGACGTGTTATTAAACACCAGTCAGTTCGCCGGATTCGTTCGCGGCCACGCTGCAGCGATGTCGGCGCTTCAAAGCCATTGTTCGGCTCGGCTGTACAACGCGCTGGTAAATATTTACGCGTCCACTGGGAAAAGTAGTTTCGATGCTTTCGCTGTCTGCGCGTGAAATTGATATTTGAAGGACGTTTTGTACAGATTCGTGATAAGCGTCTCCGTGGATACTGTTTATCGTACTACAATTGCACTATAGGAATTTTATTATATAGGTACATTACTGTCTTATACAATAAAATGCCTAATTACTAATAAATGTATGCGTTGTTTTTCAAAAAAAATAGTCTTAACAGTTCAACTACTTACTAACCGAGTTTAGGTTCCCAGTTCGATTGTATAATTTTTTGTTTGTTAACACAGAACTCCGCCGTTTATGAACCGATTTTAAAATGGTTTTTTTTTCATTAGTATTGGTTTAACTCCCATGAGGTCCCATGTATCATATATTAGACCTCAGACTCCGGAGATACACCAGTGAACTCCTCAAAAGCAAATAGTTTTCTTAATATAATTATTTAGAGTTGCTTTTGTGTGTGTGTTGTTTTGGTTAATAAAAGAGTTATGGCATAAATGAAAAATAACTTTATAAGGATATTGAAAAAAATATGTTGTATCCGAAACCATACAATATACTTATTCCTGCAGTAAAGTTATTGATAAAGGCATTATCCAATATAGTTACTCCTCACCTTTCGGTAACCGAAGCCGTCAGCAGTCGTCAGTAGGAAGCAACCACTACGAGATGAAACCATACAGCCCGTCAGGAGACTCCGCTTCAAGCTGTTACACTAACTGTGAGTTACCTTGACTTGTTTTTTTTTGTTATGTATGTTTTTCGTGTAGTATTCTATAGGTGTTGGGTCGAAAACCTATATGGTTCCCGATCACGAAATTTGGTAAAAAGCAAGGTCTTACAGCACAAATAAATAGAAAATTTAGAAAAAGTTGAAAATTAAGGTAAACTTTGGATGATTATTTACCAATTTTATTATGGTGGCATGAAGGGTGGTGACACTACGATGGCCAGTTCGAGGCTGCTACTCGAGGACCTTTCTTCCCCAGCGGTTATCAGTTCTACGAGCTATATGGCTGGCCCATCGCCACTTCGACTTGCTAACCTTCTGAACTATGTCGGTCACTTTTGTTCTACAGCGGATGTCTTCGTTGCGAACTCTATCACGCAGAGAAATACCGAGCATAGCCCGCTCCATAGCTCGCTGAGTGACTTTGAGCTTCTTCATACCGCCAGCAGTGAAGGACCACGTCTCAGTTCCGTATTTCATGATGGAGTCACGACCTGTGCAAATGTGCGGGAAGTCGATGGATGCAGGTGGCTAGGGATCGTGCTTCCTGGCAGTCTGTGGGGGAGGCCTATGTTCAGAAGTGGACTCAAACAGGCTGAAATGATTTTGATGATGATGATGATGATGATGGTATGATGAATAGGTACGGAACCCTTGGCGTACTGGTTCGACTGGCAATTGAATGGTTTTTTGTAAATAAATACATATAAATATTATAGATAAATGAATACCATTTACAATATACATACTACAGTAATATAGAATTAACAAATATATTTTTCCAGTAGTAGGGATCGAATCCAAACTCTTCAACGCAAGAGACAGGTCTACTATCTTCAATTGGGGTCTTCAATTGGGTGTTTCTGATTGTAAAATAAAATATATCAGTTGTAACCACGATCACCGCTATTTTCAGTGACGTTATAATCTATAAATCACACGTTATAGGGGTAGAAGTAAGAAATAGTTATTATTAAAATATGTAGAAAATGTAAGAAAAGATTGTCGCCGCTGCTGTGGGAATCGAACCCACGTCTTCGACATTCGCGGCTTGACGCTTTAACCACTAAGCTAAACGGCTGATTGCCACACCGACGAAAATCTTAACGTCTTTTATCTACATTGCTTTTTTAGCATTTGAAGCAATGCTTTGCGCATAGTTATTATGTAAGGAAATATTTAAAAAATATCCAGTGCTAATTTTTATATATTTACAAAAAACTCATTCTCAGCCAGGACAATGACGTCACGGTCTAGCGAGTGTTCCTCATCGCAGTTGGCGGAACTAGTGACGTCATCACCCACCTCCCACTCCAAAGTGGACGTTGCAGTCACCCTACCCACGACCTCCTTAGAGACTAGCTATCGAGATAAGATCTGTCTGACCATTGTTAAATGAACATTTATTTTATCTGAAGTAACGTTACCCTAATACCGTCTGTACAGAGGCTTTGCCCAGCTGTGGGACAAGTTACTTTACTTTACTTATGTGTCGTTGCAGCTTTAACTTATATTCAGCGTTGTACCCCAATTCTAGTGCAGCTAAATTCAAAGGCTTATATTACCACAAGTTAAGATTTCGAGTTCCCAAGTGTTTTAGTCTTTTCTTTATAAGTATTGTTTCAAGAGTGGGTTGATAAAGGTTAGTTTATGAATCGCCTAAATAACTGTGTTGCGTCAATCATCAGCAAATAAAAAAAAACTAATTTACACGCCCTATCCAAATGGGCTAGTAAGATATATAACTCATACAGCCGTTGTCGTATATTTTTATCGACCTTGAATTTGTAGAAAATAGTTTAGCGCCCACAAAAGCGGTAATTACTTGGGTTTGTATAATTATCGTTATTTCGAGGCTGCAGCTGTTCGGAAATCACTTTATTCTTTTATTTATTTTTATAATATCCACTCGCAATATTCTGAGTAAATATTAATTCGTGTAAGAAAACATTTTGTAATTTTTGTTTTTGTATAATTATAGTTATTCTGTGACGAGAGCTTCATGAAAAATGTTAAAGATTTTTGATGTAGAAACACCAACGATTTTCTGTTAGTTATAAATTATTATATTAAATAACTATTTATGTATGCCCTAGGATTGTAACAGTTGTATTATAAGAAACTATTTTTAAAATTCAGTAAATTAAGAATATATTGTGTAACTAAATGTTAGTTATATTCGCTGTTTGTTGGAGGCTTTACGATTATTACTGGAAATTCACCTCACATTCTGTTGAAGACTGAATTCGATTCATTATATAATAGAAATGTACGCATTTAATAAATTGCCAATGTATAAGTATTTTTTAATGTTACAAATCGTTCGTAGTGACTGTAAATAAATATTGTAATTAAAACTGTGATATTTTATTAAACGGTACCTAAACACGTGTTTGGAATTGTTTTATTTAATACCCTCCTTTTACATTAATTAAAAATGAGCCCTTCTTCGAAAAGGGGTGTCTAACTTGTACCAGGATTTTCAATTTAATAGATATTTTTGAACTCTACATCATTCAAAGTTTATTGAGCTAATGGGAATAGATGCATGATATAAAAACAAACATCCCCCCATCTTTAAGCGTAAATCTAATCTAACCTCCTACCTCTTTTCCAACTCGGAACACAAATATACTAGGGCCAGTAACCCAATACTAGTCCTGTTGTCTATAGCTGGACACTGATAACAAATTGAATAGAGTTTTGCATATGAGGAATCGGACGGAAAGTTTATTGAAGTAAATCAAGCAAGCGGACATAACTACATGGTATGTGTAGCACTTGTGTGGATTATAACCCCATTAGAAGATTAGAACCCACGACAACTTTAGAGGGCATTTGGTGGATTATATATATCGCTATATATCTAAGAGTTACGACTAAAATAACTAAGCCCAATCTATATCCTACGATATTAGTCAATAGTATAAAAGAAAACGTCGAAGCAACACCAACTGTGTCAGCGAGAATTGAAGATGGTGAGATTTATATATATAAATATTAACTGTGGTAGGGTCACGCAACAGTCTTCGCTGTTGTACAAATGGGCAGGACCGTCCGGAGAAGTACCACGACCTCACACAAGACAGGTGTGAAGTAAAATTGTTACACTTGAGCGTTGTGGCGAAACGCTTTTAGTAAAGTGGGCTTTACTAAATGGTGGCAACGCATCTTCAGCCCTTCAGCGCGCGAGTCCGACTCGCACTTGCGCGTTTTTATTTTTAGTACTTGTCTCTTTAAATTGTAATTTTTTGTCGATAAATGAAAATGAACATGAGCCGTGATAGCTCAGCGTCCGGGCGCTCGCCTTTAATTCAATATACTCGAGCAACCTGAGTTCGATCCCCGGTGCCGGCACCAAAGAAGTTTTAACTTTAAGTGCTGACTAATCATGTGTTCCGCGGTGAAGGAAAACATCGTGAGGAAACCTGCATATTTTCGTAAAAATATATATTTCAAAGATATGTGAAGTCCGCCAATCCGCAGTGGGGCCGCGTGGTGGACTATGCCCTGATACCCTCTGTATAGAGGAGGCCTTTGCCCAGCAGTGGGACATGTATAGGCTGTTACTTTACTTTACTTTAAATGAACATAAACGATCGACACTGCGGGTTGTACGCTGTAAAGGATGCGCACTAGATCTCGCCAAGCATTGCTAAAAATGCAATAGTACAAACGTAGATAGTCATGATTTTCGCGCCGTGAACTCATCGGCCGCTTAGCTTAGATGGCAAAGCGTCTGGCCGCGAAACTAGAAGACGCTAGTTCGAATCCCGGAGCGCCGGAAGTTTTTGTTCATTTATCTATCAAAAATTTACAATCAATCGCGTTTAATGTATTTTTCACAAACATGGAGTACTAGTGCAGTGGATAAGGTTTAATTTTTTTTTGTTGCGCTAAAGAAATATAACTCCTTACGTGGGTACGTTAGTACACACACAACTTGTTTTATTTTTTATTTTTAAGTAACAATAAAAGCAATGGAACGGAGTACGTTTTCCGACAGCTTCTTAACATTTATTTCCTTTCCAGTCCTTTTATAACGCAATTCGATGCGAACGTCCTGAAACTAAGCCACCAACTTATTGTATTTTCCCAACGTAAATAACATTATTCTTTGCTTATATTATTTACAAAGACGATGTTATAAGGTTTCGAGTTAAGCCACGTCAACTGGAGCAAGAGTTCTAAGCTTGCTTGGAGTCGCACATGACTAAGTAAGTTAGCACCACTAAATTAAGTTACGTAATTATACTTATTCCTAGATTATTATTAATCGAGTATTAATTATTAATTACTGTATTGAAAAAAAAAAACATACTGTTATATAAAGATATTTATAACTCATTTATGAACAGAGCAAAAAATGTCGATCCTTACCGACGATTGCAATCAATAATTAATTAATTAATATATGGCCGCATTTATTGCTATATTTGTAGTATTCATTATTGTGTAACGCCATTGTTATTGTTCCTGCTTATTTATAACGGACTTCCCGTACCCTTGTACCCTTCGTTTAATGGATTAATATTTCATATTATTAATGAATTAATTACCAATAAATCAATAAGTATCATTAGTCTTACTTTATAAAAGATTAATACAAAATTTAATAACACTCTTCTAAAGTTTACGTATAATATAATGAATGTGCATACACATAAAGTTGTATATTTGAAATATCGTTATTCATTAATTATGTGCACATAGTACATAAAACATAATCATACTTACTAAAAGCTATAGCTAATCGCAAGATAGATTATCTCAAAATGCAATTATTCGAGAAAAAAGGTACTCTAAAATTTACCTTTAAATCACGCTCAACGAAGTTTTACCCAAGGAATAGCAAACGTAAGATTAAATACGACAAATAAACTACATACATGGGTCGAGAGAACCACGATTTCATTTAAGAGGATACTCCTAATTTATACGACGCTGTAATGAAACGCTAAAAGTTCGTTAAGATTCCACACTTAAGAGCTCACATCGCCGTATTGGTCAGGCGTGATAAAACTAAGAGCTGTAATTTTACGGCAGTCCGTCTCCAGTTAACTGTGAGCGCTCGTTTAATCGCCAAGTTAAAAAGAAACGTCGATATGACAAGGATCCATTAACTAGGGCGACAATGAGTTTTGCACCAATCGATCATCTTCGGACATCTTTAAAAAAAAAAAACGTAGCTCTTACTGGATAATATAAATTTGTCCTGTGTTGTAAGGATTCTACATTCATAAATTTCACATACACCCAGATCCGAAATAATTTTAAAAGATGTCTGCTTTTAAAAAAAACAATGCCCTTACTGGATAACATACATTATTCTGTATTGTAGGCACGATTCTACATTCATAAATATCAACAAACACCTAGATCCGAAATAATTATTTATGGGTCACACTACTAATTGTCCCGTGTGGGAATCGAACCCAAGACCCTAGCACTGAAGCCAATATCTTGGCAACTACGCCACGGATCAGCTTGAGTTGGGACACTTTTGTAGAGTGTACTTACATGCATTTACTTTTATATTCACATGTGTACCCTTATATCCTTATGCACACTTATAACCAGGACACACTTAGGGTATCATTCTGTTTTTATCTTGTACAATGTGTAGCAATTATGAATATCGCTTAGGTTACAAAAATGGGAATTCATTCGTTAAAACAGGGCCGGTATATGTTAATATAGCATAGTGGCGCTATTAAAAGTCTTGACACCCTTAAAGTATGACATAATATAAAAGGGCCTAGGTCTCTTCCGTGGAAGTTCTTACTGTCACTTCCAACGCACTGATGAGATGTGAAGATTTATATAAGAAATATATATATATATATATAAATTTTGCCAATACTCCATTCCATTTCCAATGATCCTTCGTATCCCATACGGAATATATTTATATGCATTTCCATAATTGTTCTTTACCGTGCCTAAACTTGTCTTTGATACTATAAGTTGCGTTAAATAAGAGAAATAATCTGAAGTAAAATCTACATGTCTGAGCATGCTTACTTATTTTTGTACTTATGATATTTGACGTAAGGAATTTGTAATTTAAGCACAATAGCGTGAAAATGGTCTAATGAACTATATTATTAAATATAAAAAATATCTTTATTCCGTGACTGCGTTTCTGGTTACCCTTGTTTAAGTCGTTACCGTAAATATTTAACAACAAGAATTAATATTCAATGTTGGTTATCAGAAGCCGTGACATTTTTATAGACTTAATTCCATAAAATGAATCCTTGCTGGTCGTATAGTAAATAATCATGTCTCGGAAAAGGACGAGTAAAATATGAGATTTTAAGGTAATTATTATTATTATAACGTGGTACGTGTTAAAGTGTTAACCTGAATTCATTTAGTACATTCGTGGATTTT